TGGGGGGTGGGGGTGGGAGAGGGTAGAGAATTTTTGGCAGAATGCAGCACGTGAGTTGACTCGTAAAATTCGACAACTGTATTCACATTTGATCTGCGATGAGGTCTATGTTGTGTTGCATGAAAACGAGGCGAGCTACTCTGCTGGTGTGATAATCGTGTAAAACACCGACACGAACTTGTCAAAGTTGTGTGGGACAAGGTCAGATATACGGGATGTTTCCACTTTGAATCTTCATGGGGGAGAAATGTGTTTTTTTCTTTGTAAATATATACGTTTTACACGTAAAAACTCCCATTTCTTCGCGAAGACAAAATGGCACAGCTCATACGTCAGTGACGATGTTGCTTAAAGTACAAAAAAAAACAAAAAAACAAAAAAAAAACAAAAAACGTGAGACAAGTGCGCGTGTTTTGTAATGTGGTGCGTGTATTCGTGAGAGATGTTCGTCTACACGCGCTGCGTCACGCATATCCAAGCTGCTTGTGTGCATTCGCCCTCTATTTTAGCAACGCATGCACAGTAAAAAGAGATAATCGAATTTTCGTATGTACGATCGAGTCGAGAATGTTGTCACTCGTGTGTTTTTTCTTTTTTTTTTTTTTTTCAAAAAAGAAGATACGTTACGACAAATTGGTAACTTTCGATTCCAAAAAAGATTTTCCTAACAAAAATTTAACCAACAACGCAAACAATTACGTCGATCTCACGTAAAAGAACGTAAACGAGAGAAAACAATCTGAAATAATGATTTTTTAAAAAAAAGCAGTCAACTCATATAATAGTGCGGATACTGCGGTGACTCTTTTTTTTTGACGAGTTTTCCTCTTGTACATTTCCTTCGTCATTTTGTCAAACAATAGATATTCGTGTCAAGGAGATTGTTTCTTTTTTTTTTTACAATATATATTTCTTCTCTTTTTTTTATGAAATATTTTTGACGACACTGTGTTTAAAAACAATGTCGCTCCACCGCTACTTCAAAGATTCATAATCTAATTAAGTGGCCTAATTCGGAATAATATCGTTTTCCGGAATATTGCACCGGAGCTGCACCGGGAAGGACGGACGACCGGTGTCGTATCGACGTCGAGGAGAATCGAACTCTCCCGCCCGTCGTCGTCCGCGTCGAGGTCAAGCGACAAGGTCTGCTGAGACGGTGGGCTACATACCCGCATTCCCTGCATTCTAGACATCGCCCTGAGCGGCCTTAGGGCCCTTAGGGTCCGCATTGTTTTGAAGGCTTGAATCCCGCCAGCGCCACAGAGAGACGCTATGAAGTTAATGAGCGATACCTGCGAGCGAGAAACGAGAACGAATCACAGCGACAGGTAGATAGACATGTTAGGAATGGAGATAGACATGTTAAATAAGAGGCTCTCTGATCGGTTTTGTCTCCGATCGAATCGGCGTCAAAGGATCGATGGTAAAGAGAAGAGAAGAAGGGCGGGGTTCAGAAATGTTTAAAAACAGAGAAAGAGAAAGAGAGAGACGGCCACACATATCGACACATGTTCACTGCGGTTTCCTTCGATTCCTCGACGAGAATCGAGATGGTTCATTACAAAGACACAATTTTATATATATGTATATGTATATATATATATATATATATATATATATATAATTCGAGATGCTGTCGAGATCTGTAGAGAACAACGACAGTTTTCGTATATTGTTTTGCACATCTGTAGATATACATGTATATACTCATATGTACATTAGTACGTCGCTCCTCCGTAAGTGCCGTCGAGTGATCTTCCTTTCGCGGTATCTTTTTTTGCACGGACACAAAAATGACAAATAAGATTAACAAAGCTCGTACACACATACATTTCCGCGCGTATATGTATTTTATATGCGACCAAGATACTTGGGTATTTTTGTATATATGTTTTATATATGTTTTTTATATATGTTTTATATATTTTGTATCATCGGTGATGTTGATATTGTAAAAAAATCTGTAGGTAACGGTGCTTACAGAGAGCGAGATTAGATAATACGACAGATATATATATATATAAAACAGGGAGGCGTAAAGAGAGGTTCCATGTACACGGCACATATAGCAATTAATAATAATCGGGAGATGATTGTGTGTATGCGCACATATATATATACACATGGTTTTCTCTTACACATGCGCTTATACATATAATATATATATATAGACACACACACAATCACAGATAGATAGATAGATAGATAGAACAGTGAACAATTCAATCAGGGGGTTATCGTTACACGAGCAAGTACTGCTGCATCCTGAAACAGACGAAAAAAGGTTTGTCATACGATTACGTCGCTCCACGCGAGCCCCGTTACGAGCGCGATTGAGTTAATTATCGAGAACAAGATAATTGTTGAAAACAAATTTTTCCAAAAGTGAAAAAGCACGCGTCTCTCTCCATTTGTAATTAAATTAATTAAAAATTCACACGTAATTAAAAATCCACACGTGTGTTGTCCGCAACTTCAACTTGTATACTATAAATTTCACTCTCGTCATGGAGCGTCGCAATGCGAGAAAGATTTTTATATATAAATACACATCTGTTGTGCGCGCACAGACGCACATAAAAAAAACGCGCGCGCAAATACACACACACACACACGCACGCACGCGCGCGCGCGCACGCACACACAGGATAACTCTTGACACTACACAAAAAGCATGTATATGTATAATATATATATATATGTAAATTATATATCGTATATATATATAGATATATGTAACACTTTGCACAACAATCATTTGGTACCAAGAAACTCTTAGAACAGGCGTACACAGGCGAGTTTTAGCTAGTTTAACGATAATGACTCCATTATCAGTGCGGACATGAAGCAGAGACGCCAGTGTATCTCCGCACACATTCGGTATAAGCACAACCATAGATATACATTGTTAGTACAAGCTACACGATAATACAAAGCTACATATCCGCCGTAGCCGTGTCCTTCCCTATTTATATTATTCCCTTGCAATTCCTTGTTTTTTGGTTTTTTATCCCCATTTGCCACACAATGAACGCTTCGAGACTGAAGCTTCGTACCGCGTCCAACGGATCGATATCATGCTCCAACGAAATCGCTGAATCCACAGTCGATCGGAAAACTCTCGAGTCGAGAGATAAATCCTGATTTCAAGGGATCGGGCGATTTTCGACCTTGAGCCCAGTCGACTTTGAAAAAAAAATTTAACTTGTGTGCGTACGCACATGTGCGATTAATAAATAGAATAAGTTGAATGAAAATTGAGTGTTTAATAAATTACATATTTCCCAAATATGTAATTATCTTTAAAAAAAAGAAAAATAAATAAAACACTAATTTAATTAATTTTTAAATCAATATCACGTGTCGACGTCGGTCAACGTCTAAATCCGCGATTAGACCTTGAAGCCGAAAACCTCGACCTCGTTCCCGATCTGCTGTGTCATGACATCGTCGCTACTTTGAGAGGAAGAAAGAGTCAGAGAAGAAAGAGGATCCATGCAAATGCCGATAAGGCTCCTCCCTCGTCAAACGGAGGTCCGCACGGCGGGCAAATTAATAGTAGACGTGCTAATCGATCGATCCGTTAGCTCTGTACGATCCATCAAACATCGTCGTTGCGACAACAGGCCGAAAAATACGTATCAGGCTGAGTTTTTTTTTGTTTGTTTGCTTTTTTCTTTGCTTTTTTTTTTTTTTTAAGTCCTCGTCGAACCGATGACTTACTCTCATGCCCTCCCACCGTGAGACTGCCCGTAAAGGCCTCAAGGCCCTCAGTGTTCTCATGGAACGGAAGGCCGGGATGTCGTCAGCGCCGGCCCAGACTGCGCCCAAGTTGATCAGTGATAGCTAATTTCATCAAACATTCATCAGACGGGACATAATTGCTTGCGTCAGTTCTTAGAATAAATACTTATTAATGACGATCGATTACGAAGGAATCCACCGGAAGTTTCCGCATTCGGTTCCCACCGCTCCGCATATTTGGCATTAGTTCGAAGGTTTCGAAGGACAAAAAGGAAGAGAAGGAAAAAGACGGAGGAATGAGAGATAAAACAAAATGAGAGAGAGAGAGAGAGAGAGATTCTTCACTTGCGAAATTTGTCTTCTTTTCGTGCTTTTTTCCCTCTTTATAATTTTGTTTAGAATATAATGAATTTTTTTTTTCGATACATTTGATGCAAAATATAACTTTGACGTACTTTGTTGATGAATATTGAAAATTGTTTTCTTTGTCAAAGCACGAATGAAGCGCGTAATTTCGCAATCTCGCGTCGCGAACGACTTCGTCTTTCACAATCTAATATCGCGCGGCCGATAAGATTGCTGCGATATTGCGTGTGTCGCAACGGCCTTTTTTTTCAAAATGTATTTCATAAATTCAACAAACAGAAACAATAATGTGCACGAAGTCGCGAACAACAACGAGATTCTCTCTCGTCAATTATTTGACAACTGTGCAATCGATTTACTTTTTTTTTTTTTTTTTTTTTTTTTGATATTTTACGTATCTAAGTTTTAATTTTGCAACTTTCAACATTGACGTTCCTCGCACAGTACCGATTGCACACGTTGTTATATAAACTTGTTGTAAATTATCGAAAAGAAAAGGAAAAACTGTGTGTGCGACTTACCATGACGATGATAAAGTCAAGCCAGCACCAGGCGTTTGTGAAATACTTTCTAAATCCTAGAGCAAGCCATTTGATCAACATTTCGATGAAGAAGATCACAGTGAATATTTTGTCCATGTAATACAACGCATCCATCAGGATAGGTCGACGTTGAAGATGAACATCCTCCAAGGCCTGCAAAGGTGTGCGATATCTCTCTTGGTTAGTTTACTTTTTCACTAAACGCATTTCGGAATAATAATAATAAAAAAAAAATAAAAAAAAAAAATCGACAATCTCTCACCAAGGCCAAGCTGCTCAGAAGAATCATCACGATGACGGCAGTCTCGAAATATTTGTTCTCGATCAGCCGGAACGTCTTCAAACGCAAAATCGCCCAGCCCTGCCAGAAAGGAGCGTTGTCGTCACCGGCCAGAAACGGAAATTTCTTGTACCAATTTTCCGGACAGCAATCGGCCGGATAATTGGGCTGAATAGGATCGTCGTCCGCTTGTATGATCACTCCATCGAACTCTTCACCTTCCTCGTCCTCGTCTTCCAGATCTAAACGGTAAATGCGATTTTTCTCACTTGCGTTTCCTCCACGTGCGTTTAAAGAAATCAAAAAATTGTCCTTCGCGACATTGTCAAAAACAATTCTTAGATTTAAAAAAAAAAAAATGATCATGTCACATCTACCTTCTTCCTGTTCTAAATCTTCCTTGCTCGCGTCTTTCTTCTCCTCGCCGTTCAGCGAGTCCATGCTGCCTTTGTGACTCTCGTCTTTGAACGCTCGATTTTTGTGACTGCCGTACGACTTGTTGCTGTCAAAAAGAGATTCGATTTTAGACTCAATCTCTATCTCTCTCTCTCTCTCTCTCTTTCTCTGTCTATTTTTCGATAATTTGAGATACACGATAGAAAGAACTCAACCGACCTGATGGTGTCGTCCTCGTTCTGATTGATGTAATCGTTGTCCAGTCTGAAATCGTGGTGATTTATCGAGTTCGCGATAACTTTCGTATTGTTCATGCACAGCTTGCCCCTCTTCAGTTTGTTCTTCAGATCTCCTTTGGGAATTGCGAAATTACATTACGACATCTTAACAATACACTTAATTCGTTTTGTTTGTTCGTTCGTTCACCTTTTTTCTTTTTTTTTTTCTTTTTTTTTTTTTTTGCTGGATTTTTCTACCGAGGAAAAAAATTCGGGGGAGGAGAAAAACTTTGTCAGGCTGACTCCTCGCTTACCGTGAATGGTGAACTCCATTCCGTCACCGATGGCTACCTCGAGTTGATTGAGCTCTTTGGCGCTCTTCTTGTCTCTGTACGCGTCTAACTCACCATCTGCAAGATCTAGGTCCCCATCGCGATCAATCCCATCTGCACAATCACACAAAATCTCTAACCCGCCCTTATCAGAAAACGTCGTTTCGAAACGGACAAAACAAATCGGAACGCGCTGGAAATCATACAGAATGTGTGTTGCTGTTTTTTTATTAGATTGAAAAAAAAAAAAAAAAAAAAAAAAGAAAAAACCACCACCACCTCTCGCAACATATACGGGTTCTTCCCCCGTGTGCTCGTATACGTTGCCGCAATTCGCGTCGCAATTCCTGATACACTTCAAAAACCGAGGCGAACAGTCAGACTAATTAATGGTTTGTATTGTATTCGCATGCAACACATTTGTCGTGATGTCGTATTCTTGTATTCTTGCTCCGTGAGATTTCGATCCGTATATCGTTACGCACGTCTTACGAACGATACCTGCTGCATTTTTCAACATTCGTTCAACACTCGTATGTTGTAAAAAACTCTAGATATAAAATTCTGTATTTTCGTAAACAAACGATCGCGCGATTATCGATAAATTAATTTACTGGTAACAACAATGTTGAACAAGCTTTCTTTCTCTCAAATAAATGCAGCAGATATCGAAATTCTCTAATGTGTCTACTTCTGCTTAACAAGTAATTTCGCGTCTCTCACTGGACGACGTTCACGACGTTCCTCTCTCGTCGTTGAAATAACGTAAAATACTCTCTCAAAATAAAATGCATAGCAACGTATAACTGCCAGGCGGCTAATCAGCGAAACAAAATGTAATTCGCGATTTTCAACCAACCGTCATTTATGTGCGTGTATCAAATCGCGAGTTTAAAATTAAAAATCACTTAATCAAAAAGTGTGTGTGAGTGTGACTGAGGTTATCTCAGAAAAATTTGTAAAAATTTAGAATAATGCGATTGTTTTTTTAAACGGAGCAGAGTAGCGAACCAAGCAAAATCGAAAGAGTCTGCGCAATAAATCTAATGTGCCAGTCGACATGTGTGTTTTTTTACGCGACGAGTGTCGCTGCGAAAATTTACTACGTCGAAAAACATTTTCGTCGAAAATCGATTTCGAGTAGCGACGAAAAAAAAAAAAAAAAAAAAAACGACACCGCGCGTCGTCTTTCGCGCGATCGAACGCGCCGAAATTATCAGCAAAATTGGTGTGGAAGGAGTGTGTAGTAAAGCGAAAAACTGAAAGACAGTGCCACAAACTACACAGCGCACACAGCAAGCGATCTGATTGGATATAAACCTTCTTTCCAACTGTTGGACGGTCCCTCACCTGGCGCCTGATCGGATATCTGATTGGTGAATTTGGCTCGCATCAACTTAGCAATGTAAAGAACATTTCGCTTGATCCACTTAATGAAACGCGCTATTCGATCGATCGCCTCCGCGATTTTGTTGGTGTCGTTGTCCGCGGTCGGGGCTGACAGATTCGACGAGCCGAAGTTGCTGAGCAACAGAGCTAAGAAGAGATTCAGGACCTGTTTTTTGTGAAAAACAAAAACAAAACATCATCGATCACTGATCGCGCATGTATCATCTGGAATTAGATCGGCACACGGCAATACGCATTCAACAATTTCACCCCCGGTTTTATTTATTTATTTTTTTTTTATATACTTACGACCAAGTTACCGATGACGACGGTGGCCAAGAAGAAAGGTATACAAGACACGTCGCCGACGAGCATGCAATCCCACATGGACTCGATCCACTCTCCGCACAACACCCGGAAAACGATCATGAACGAGTGCATGAAATCGGTGAAGTTCCATCTGGGCATATCGCCGTCCGGGAAGTAGTCGACGTGGTCGACGTAATTCTTGCCGAAGAGCTGCATGCCCATCACGGCGAAGATGAAGATAATGATGCACAACACAAACGTCAAATTACCCAACGCGCCCACCGTTCTACCCATGATGGAGATGAGCAGATTCAACGTAGGCCACGATTTCGCCAGTTTGAACACTCTCAGCTGAAAGAGAATACGTAGATTGTTTTTTTTAATCAGCGGAAATGTTCTCAAAATGATCGTTTGTATTATTTTTCAATCAGCAACTCGAAATGTGACAAGTGCGCGTGACACTCACCAATCTGAACGATCGCAACACCGACAAACCCTGCACGCCCTCCAGACCTAGTTCCAGAAGCGAGAGAGCGACGATGATAAAATCAAAGATGTTCCAACCCTCTTGAAAATAATACTTCGGGCTCATCGCTATTAGCTTCAGCGTCGCTTCGATGCCGAATGTCGCCGTGAAGAACTGATGGAATTTTGAATTCGGATTATTCAATTCACAACTTGCGCGTTTTCAATAATATTGCGCATAATTATCTCTCCGTACGAGAATGTACTTACGTAATTGCCGGATTTAAGCACTCTCTCCATTTCCTTGTCCATGTCGTGATGATCGAGCGCCATGAAGAGCGTGTTAACGACGATGCAAAGTGTGATAAAAAGTTCTACGAACGGATCAAACACCAACAAGGACACCCACTTTTGAAACTCCAGCCAGACCCAACAGCAATCCCAGACGCAAAAGATGTCGATGCACCGGAATAAACCGGCCAATAACTTGTCCTTGAACGTAGGCTCCTCTTCATCGTCGTCTGTCGGAAAGTAATAGGTCGAAACTGTAACGCGCGTTAGTTACTTTGTCTGACACCACTCTTTTTGGGGAAAGAGGTTTTTCTTTGGTTCAGGCTCATTCTTCGAGATCACAGATTATATTTACAGGCAGGCAGGCAGATAAGGCATAGCAAAAACTGAAGATGGTACGATAACGCACACAAAAAAAAAAAAAAAAAANAAAAACCAAAACCACACAAAAAATTGAGAACTCAGATAATAGATCGCGCAAAAGATATTTATACGCAAAGTTTTATACGTAAGAGTTCAATTTACGAAATAAAATATAGAATAAAAATAAAAATAATAACAATAATAATAATAATAATAGCAATATATGTGGAACGAAAAAACGTGCATTTACGGCGCGAATGGTGTGCAATGCGTGTGTGTCACGTTTGCGAATATATGTTGCAACGCGACATAATATTACATTTTTTATAATATTCGTTATATTTGCAAACGCAACATTGTTACAAAACGCTGTATGTTTTACATAGACAAAAAATAATTTTACTACTTTCGCCATTCCAAGAGGAAAAAGCATGACCGGTTTTTGTTTATTTCCTTTGTATTTTAAAGAAATATGTTTTTTTAAACTTTATTTTGCAAAAATATCACACGCACACAAAAATAACACTATAAAAATGTTGTTTCGAGTTTAATGTTTTATTTTAAAAACAAATATTTCTCCAACATGGCGAAAGAATTAAATTTTCCTTGTTTTGTGATATAAAGCAATTCAACGACGACCAAGCGCAAACGTAATCCACGCGCGGCGTTGTCTTGTCAAACAATTTTACATTTAACAAACGACGTCACATATATATATATATATATATATATATATATATATATTTATATATATATATATATTTCTCAAACCCAAGCAGAGCGGTTTCGACGCGTATTAGAAATCGAGTTAGAGACGGTCGGATTCACACGGTCTTTCTCGCGATTAGCGACAATGAATTCGCGATAAACAGCGAAAGTGCGATGTTCAGCTCTTGCGTGCAAAACTACGAAGCTGTGAGAATTCGTAAAAAGAGAGAGAGAAAGAGAGAGATCGCCAAAAACTGAATAATATCCTCATCGAAAAACTCTCACAACGCGCTTCTCTAACAAAACATTTGTCTAAATTCCAAAACAAAAGAAAAACTGCTGATTTTCGTTGTATTGTGCACCCGAAGCGAAACACGTGTCTTCTAACGCGGTGATGCAGGTGCAAAAATATCGAAAGATTAACCAAAGTCGCTGCAGAGAATTTAAATATCGGAAATAAAAAACAAAAACAGCATTTCTCTCTCAATCATCGACTGCAGGCAAAATAACTAACAAAAACATTGTTTCAATTCTTATGTAGATTTTTCTTTTATTGAAAAAAAAAAATTAACATTGCGAGCGATCCGTAGTTTTGAACAAAAAAAAAAAAAAAAAGCGAGATATTTACGCGCTTGTCAGAAAGTGTGGAGTAGATTATATAAATTTAACAGACGACGTGTACGTAGTTCGTGAAAATTGAAAAAAACGCAAAATTATTTTTTCGAAAATTTATATAAATTCTTCGCAAGTTTGTAAAACTCGTGTGCCGAGTGTTTCCTCACTATTACATATCGACGATTGAGATAAATCTGAAAAGAAGTCAAAAGCGTTTGAAGCCATCGTGCAGCTGCGGCGAAGGTGGTAATCTGTGTCACACGTTTCGCAGGAAACGCGAATGCAATAAACTCTGTTTCCCCAAAAAAATTATTATTATTTTATCTCACAAACCGCCCTCAAAGAGAGTCTCAAAAGCCGCAATTGTGCGTCATTTTCTTTCTCGTCGCATCACGCTGCTCAAAGAGATTTCATTATCCCTGCGATAATCTAACATTTATTCGTGGTCGCTTCGTTCCCAAGTTCTCGTTCGTTCGTTTTTTTTTTTTTTTTTTTTCCACAAAACGAGATGCTCGAGACATTGGTATCCGATCACCGGGCGAGAACCGCATTTATACACACCATGCTCCAACCATAAACAAAAGGAAAATGAAAGGAAAAACGAACACGTGTGATCACGTTATCATCACAACTTGGCTTGGGTTAAGAAAAAAACAAAATAAAAGAAAAGAAAACAATTGTGAAATGAGACACAAAACTCAGATCGATCTACTATGTACAGGGAAGGACGCCCAGAATATTCAGCGGAATGTGTACATATATTATATACATATATACATTATACATGTATATATAATATATGCACACACGTACATATATATACCAACGCAAAAATAAAGTACAGAAATACGTAACGAGAGAGAAACTCGAAAAAAAAAAAAAAAAACTAATAGTGTACATCGAACGGCAGGATGCTCATCACACAATAACAGGATATATATATATATGTATCACATTTGCGATAAGGGGTGAGAACAGAAACACTTGGAGAGAGAAGAAAAAACTCGAAAGTACTTGACTCTGAAGGGGGCGTGAAAGAGACGCGATATTACCTCCTTGCTCCGGCGTCTGACTCTGACGACCGGCGGCCTGTTCAATGATGTCGTTTAGCACCATTACATCTGCGCAAAGAGAACGAGGACAGAAAATTACAAATGACGCAAACAAGCTCTCCCGTTTTACAGAGAGATTTTTAAATTCTGTACTGTACAACGTTGCGTTAAAATTTATACACTTAAAAAAAAAACGAAACAAAAAAAAATTTATCTCGCACGCGCATTTGGCTCTTACGCGCTTCGTCGTTTCTCTCTTACATATGTACGTACATTGGTTGAAATGTTAAAGAGAATCGCGCGATCTGTGCGGTTTGAAAATTGAACAAAGTTTGATTGACGCGGGAGAAAAAATTTGAAACAGAGAAAAGAACGTGTGTGGCGCGCGCGCGAATCTCACCCTTCATGTCGACCACAGCGTGCTGCTGAGACGGTTCGATAAACGGATTGTCTTGTTGCTTGGTCTTGCCCATGGAATCCTCCAGGTCGGTTTCCTGAAAAAAAATGTCAAAACATCCTGCAAAACGACCGTCGTCATCGACCGTGTTTATTATGCTCTCGTGCGGTTCAAGCTTTGGTGTGTAAGACATCACATCTTTTATCATTGGTGACTTTACGCAAGTGATATGTTGATAACCGTAATGTGTAGTTTTTTATTTTTTTTATTTTTTTTTATTTTTTAATTACGATCGAGTATATCTTTAACAATCTGCGACAACCAGGATCTGAGAAGACTGACAAAGCTATATATAAATATATATATATATATATATACTTCACAACCACAGTCATGCACAAGCACGGACGCGAGACGAAGAACTTAAATGCTGAATGCTTAAATGCTTAACGTTTCCCGCAATGCGGCGGCAACTGCGATTTAGGGAGGTTGGAGCCCTATCTTCGGGCTCACAAATCCCGCTTACGTTCTCCTGAGACATCTCTTCCTCTTTCCTTTTTCCCCTACATCGATCATCATCGACCTCTTCTCAGAGATTTTGCAAAGGCCCACTTACAAAGTGATAGGACTTCTGATTGTTGTCCGTGACGTGGCCGTTGGCGGGGGTGGTCTGCTTGTTGTAGCGATTCCTGAGTATCTGATCCTGCTTGGTGATCTGCTTGCCGATGCTGTCAATGCCGCGTATACCGGGGAACGCCAGGTCGCCGTGGGACGTGTAGGAGAGTCGCGAGGCGTGCGAGGTGTAGGACGAGTGACGCGAGCCGAGATTCGCGTAGTACACCGGCACCACGATCGTGCCGTTCTCCTCGGACATCGGCGTGACCGCGTTCGAGTCGTCGGCGTAAGGCAGATGCTCCTGGGCGTCCAGATACGTCGACAGGACCAGGGGCTTCCGGTCGCCGCCGGGCGGTACGAAGCATCGGCCGCGGCCATTGCGTATCGTGAACTGATGGCTGCCACGACTGCTGCGGCGCAGATTGAACGGTGAGCCGGGTAGGCTCAGGCTCGCCTGAAATTATAACAAAGCGGACCACCGCTTTTCTCTCTCTCTCTCTTTCTCTCCCCCTCTCGCACTCTCTTTCTCTCTCTCTCTCTCTCTTTCGCTCTCTCTCTCTCGCTCTCTCTCATTCTCTCACTCTCTCACTCTCTCTCTCTCTCTTTCTCTCTTTCTGTTCCCGAGATCCTCTCTTTTTTTTTAAGGGCGTCTCTTTCTCTCTCTCTCTCTCTCTCTCTTTTTTTTTTGTTTCTCATCGATGGAGCAATTCCCTCGGGACGATCGTGACATTTTCCCGCTCGAGATCGATATTGCGACCTATCCGTTATAACGTTTGAAGAGTTCACAAGCTATGCATCAAAGTTTCGCTGGTGTGTGTCGGTTGGAATAAGAGGATTCCGTAATATACCACCGCGAACGTTACAAAGACGGATAAGAGACAGACTTTCGAGTTTAAATCGAAATAATTTTGGAACACAACTCTTCGAACGAGTTCACGTCCACGTCCACGTTTTCCTACTTTTATTTTGACACGAAACGCGCGTGATTGACAGAGAGAGTTTCTGCGTTGTCTTTCCAAGCGAATCGTTAATTAATTAATTTCCAACGCGAGTGATATTACACGCGATCGTGTTCCCGATGCCGATCGATATCTACTACACAGTTAATTTAAAAGAACAACGAGAAATTGGATCGGAGAGAATTCGGATTCGCGGCAGGTGTCCACAAATCGACGTGTCCCGACGATCGTTATCGCGCGGCGGTGAGACGACGCGCGAAAACGAAATCGATCTCGTCTCGACGCGATTCAGCGCGCGGCTTGTCACACACACCGGGAATAGTCGCGGAAGTCCGGCGAGAGTCCGGATGAAAACGACGATCACAGACGTACATACGTCCTCCGACGTTTGCGAGTCGTAACGCGCGGAGCAACTATCCGACACAATATATATTGAGCGACGCGCGCTGTTTCGCGAAAAAGATGATATACATATTGTGAGAGAGATCGTGAATTTCAGGTTTCTATTGGTGCTATTTAGTGTACGTACGGTCGGTGCTGACAGACACACGTCGTGATACACGTACCTTCCGCAGGCTTTCCTGGTAGGCATAAGTAAACTGGCCATTAGCGGCGCGAGGGACCTTAAGAAAAAAACAAGAAAAGATATCTCCTACCAAACGGCTCGTAACGTGGTCTAATACGTGTACACCAACGAGGCACTCGAAATAGGTTAACATTATATATCGCATAACACTTGCACAAGCACACATAAACACAACTGTGGAGGCGAAAAGAGACGGGGAAATACGAGGAGGGAAGGAAAAAACGGGGGGGGGGGGAGAAGAAAATCGGGAGGATCGTACAAGGGAATTGTCTTGTCACAATACAAAGAGATAAAAACAAAAACAAAAAAAAAAAAACAAAAGTGTGCGAAAAGTCACGAATCTAATAAAAACATAAATCTGAAGACACGAAGATCGGTGACAATTTGGTATCTTTGTTTCTTTTCGCATATGTTTCAGCTTTGAAAATTTCCAAGCTCGTATACATTTGATATACTTGTTTGTTTGGAGAAACAAATTTGCAAGTGTTCCAATTTCGTGAAAAATTTTTTGCTTCCGATGTGATACGGCAATAAACGTCCGATATTTCGTATCTCCGCGTTGCTATATAATTCACAATTATATACACGTTTCTTTGCATGCACAATATTGCAAAAGGATGACAAACAAAAAAAAATAATGTATGTCTGCTAGTTAAGTAAGTAACATTTAACGCGCCGTGTCGATATATATGGGGCGAGAGGTATTATCTCGCGCTGTTTTTCTTTTTTTCGCGCGTCACCACGCGCGTTACTTATCGCAAGATCGAAGTTGGTTCGATGTAATAAACACGTTTGATAAACACACGTATTTTACGACGTTTTGTTAAAGCAAATTTTGTATTATATCATCGAGAGGGAGACAGGTTCTATGCGTAAAGCCACCTATCCAAAAAGGTCATGACACAATTACGAGCAGTCAAGAAACTCAGCGAATTCCAAAAAACGTGTATAAGAGCAGCAGAGAGTAAAGTGACTTCAGAGGTTTTGGGTTTTTGATTCTTTTTTTTTTTTGTTTTGTTTTGTTTTTTGTTTTTTTTTCTTTCGTAAAAATTCGAATTACGACAATTTTCACATCTGTACCTCCAATTTTTGTTTTCACAATTATGCCTCTGCCACCGTCGCTAAACATTTTTTGGGAACCATATCCTACATATGCCAAGCATGCTACAGAGCGGCGGATTGTTTTACGGAAGAAAAGGCTCGACTCGTCGCGATCTTTCCCTTTCGCTGTTTTTTTTTTTTTTTCTTTTTTTTGGCATAAGTTTGGCATTTTGCGTTTTACTTCGATCCGATTATGTATGTGTAATTCCTATTCAATTGGGCAAGTTATTCCGTGTATTTCACACAGAAGCTTCTAATGAAGCTTCTTATCCATTCGTGGTGTTTTTTTTTTTATACCAAGTTCACAGAGTAAATCGCTCGGATTTACATTCGCCTAGGTAAGTCACGTCGCCAATGGATCCGTGTGAAGTCCTCGCAAAGACCCGTTTGGCGCAAACGTACGTCACGTTATTCGGGTCCTGGATTCGGGGGCGCGAATCGCAAGACCCCGACCACCCGACGAGTCGAGTCGCGGATCGAGAAACGACCTCGCACAAGTTGCTCTCGTAGACTGCGAGGTCGGAGGGAGATCGGTGAGGTGTTTTGTTTGTTTGTTTGTTTTTTTTTTTGTTTTTTTTTTTTTTAATAAACAGGGCCAAACACACACGTTTACATTACGATCAAACGACGCGTAAGAAGGTCGGATTTTTATCGTTAAATCGTCCAGCCGGATACTTACGGCGCTGACTTTTCGCACTTTACTGGCGCTGTGGTTGTTGTTGATCTGCTTGACGTGCCTGGGATCGCTCGCCGACTCGATCGAGCGTATGCTCATCTTCTCCTTGTTGTTGTCGTCGTTGCCCTTCTCCTGGCCGACGAAAAGTTCGTAACTGTGGCACGAGAAGTCCGACGGCGACTTGACGATCTGTTCCGCGGCCTCGGTCGCGGCTGCTTCTCGCGCCGCGGCCGCTTCTCGCGCGGCAGCTTCTCGCGCCGCGATCTTGTTCTCCCTCGCTTGTGCGGCCTCCTCGGCTTCCTGTTAAGTTTAATCGAACACACACACATCGTCTCGTCACAAACTCAATCGATTTTCGAATCTTGAAAAAAGTTTGAAGAATTCACTTTACGAAACTCACACTCACAATTTTCAACTTTCGAGCTCTAGCTGTTACTCACTCTTATGGCTTCCTCCTCGGCGGCTTCCTCCTCCTCCGCCTTCTTCTGCAACTCGTCGTACGACATCGCGACAATAGCGAGGATCAAGTTCACGAGATAGAAGGATCCGAGGAAGATGATGACGATGAAAAAGAGCATGTGCCACGGTCCGGCCGATCTAAGCACCAGCTGATAGAGATTCTCCCAGTAATCCTGAGTCATGAGACGAAAGGCGGAGAGCAGCGCCCAGCCGAAGGTGTCGAAACTCGTGTAGCCGTAATTCGGATTTTCGCCGTAGCCTTGTAAACACGTGTAGCCGGGAAGGCACTGCCTGTATTCGAAAACAAAAAAAAAAAAACATCGTCTGTTGATATTTCTGTCGCATTGCGAGCAAAACGGTCTCTCGAAAGAATTTTTCCGACACAGTCTCTCGTCAAAAAAAAAAAAAAAAAAA